GTAACAAGAACACTGCGTTGTGGAGGCATTGAGGTGTAGATATGTGTCAGATATCCTTAAAGAGGGACGGTCTTTTTCACAGTATTAATTCTTGAGGAGGCAACTTGGAAGGATGACTTCTGAGGACCACTTTTCAATTCTTGGGTTCCTTCTGGGTTTTTTCCATGAGGTCAAGGGTTCAGGAGGTTGCTGTTAAGGACCTAGCGTCCAATACTGGAATTTTATCGAACGTTCCGGGTGACGCATTAATGACTAGATGGATCCTCCTCAACAAGGAACCATATCCGTGGAAAATAATTTTTATGGATTTTAGCCTAACTTGATAAAACGATCGAAGTTAGACGATGGAATTCCAAAATAATTAAAATTTAAAATAACACTTTATTGAGGGTCTGTTCGTCCCTCACATTTCAATAAAAAGTTACGAGTACTGGAAATATTAAACTTGCATCTGTAATATTGATATATCTGTAATATATTATTGTGGGGATATTATTTTTTGATAAAATTTCGTTATTTGGGGACGTTTTGCAGACACTTTGGAGACGGTTGACTATATCTAGGGTATGGTAACCCTGGCTGAATGGTGGTATAGACTTGGCTTTAATATCTCGCCATAGATCTATCTAGGTATACCAATGGAGAGATATTAAAGGTAATCGTAATATTCGAATTTCTATCTATCAACGGGATATTCAATTCTTCGCAGATAGTATTCACCCATTTCTAGATAAAATCATTGAACACTGATAGTTGATCGCTAGTTCGCACCGACGAGCTACCTTTGTGAAGATTTTTCATATGTCAAACATTTCAAATTAGGGCAACTTTCACGTATTTCACAAAGACTTTCTCAGCCTTCCCCTACTGTGCTTCCCATCCACCTTTCCCATGCATTCCGTTAGAAAATCCTCACGAGAGTCATCTCCCTTGACAAATTGCTCTTGTATTGCTTTATCCCATTAATCCGAACCAAATCCAAACACATAATCTACATCAGAAGCAGCCTCAGATTAAAGGGGTGCCTGCAGGACTTAGAGATGCCCCAAAATTTAATTTTTAAATGTAAATATAAATTTAATATCTATTTTAAAAGTCCAGTAACGAGTTGTGTAACTTCCCAGCGATTATGAAATTTTATTTTAAAAATAACATTTATTTATTATGATTAATAATATAAATATTTTTATGAGATTTTGTTATAAAACTTTCGTATTATTAATTATTATAAAAAAGCAAAAGGCTTAATTAGGGTAGTGATGATTATAAAAAAATTTGTATAACTAGTAAATAATTGATTGCTATTAAAGTCCGACCTCTCTCTAAATATGATACATGACACTCCTCTATCTCTCCACCCCCCTCGGCTTTTAACAACCAAAATTTAATAGCATCAATGTCCCTTATACACAAGCTACATACATACATACATATCCTCTTATACATACATACATATACGCTTATAATCCAAAAAGGGTGAGCAGCAGGGAAAAATAGACTCCAATCTTATAAATTATCCATTCAGCAACTTTCTCTTAACCTTTTTGTCTAGACACACTTCCTTTGTTTCAGACACACTCTTGCCTCTTCTAGCACACTTCCTCACATTCTCTTTCTGACTCAACACGTTACGTTCTTTCAGATACTTATTCACGTATTTCACAAAGACTTTCTCAGCCTTCCCCTACTGTGCTTCCCATCCACCTTTCCCATGCATACTCTCTTCAACGATTCTTTTCCTTTCACTCTCTCAGCATGGCCGAATCATCGTAGAGCCGACTTCCCATCTTTTCAACCACATTCTCTTTCAACCCACATTCTTCCAGCACTTGTTCATTTTTCACATAGTCTCTTCTTGTTATGCCGCACGCTCCTCTCAAATCCGTCATCTTACATACAGTAATGCGACTCTAGTGACTCTTCTGCCATGCCCATCTTTCGCTATTATAGGTGAGCACGGAAATCACAATACTCCTATACATAGCTATTCGTAACTCTTTGGACATCCTTTTTACTCTTTGCAAATCTGCTCATTGCACCCACTACCTGTGCTCCAGCATTTACTCTTATGAAGATTTCACCGTCTATTCTTCCATTCCTATCTTCTATGATTCCCAAATATACAAACTTATTCACTTGTTTCAGTTGTTCACCATCCAGCTCCATTATGCAATCAGTCTGCTCAGTTTTGCCTTCAAACACAATCGCTTTAGTTTTTTTCACATTTATTCGCAGCACAAATTTATTCCTCAGACACTTCTTCGAGATTAGACACAAGTGTCTAAGCTGTTTCTTGCTTTCCGCTAATAACGCAGTGTCATCTACAAACAACAAATGACAGACTCGTTCATTTCCAATTCTCATTCCACACTCAGGCACTCTTGATCTTTTCATTCATGCATTTACAAGAACATTAAACAACCATGGGGACATAACACACCCTTGTCTTACACCCTCAGACCTTACCTGAACCACTCAGATGCTGCCATTGACACGCATACATGCTTTGCTGTTTTCATACATTGCTCTCACACCTCTAAGTAGTTTAACCTCTCATTCCATAATCACATAATATTTGCCATGTCTTGGATGGTCACACACATCTAAGACATGTAAACTTTTCCCAAAACTCATCCTTTTCAGCATCCACAGCAGTAACCAGTGGAGCATACAAATGACAACAATCACTCTCTGCATATTAACTTTGAAGCGCACTTATATCATTCTTTCGTTTATTTACTTATACTCCTTCATGTACTCTTTTATATGTTCATTCACTAAAACATCTATTTTGGCATTTTCTCACTGCCTCTTGCATACCAGACCAAATTAGCACTTCCCATTCACAACCGTGCATTCCTTACCTTTCACTCTCGTCTCACTCATGCAAAGAACATCTAATTTATTTTTAATCATTTCCTTTATTAATTCATGCACTTTATCTCTCGCTCCTCTTATATTCAACACATCCAATCGACATTCACACTTCCGGTTTCTTTTTCTCATTAGCCTATTCCGGTCCTGTTCTTTCCTGGTTGGTGGGGGACAACTCTCAAGATTGGGAGCACCATTACTTCATATACTACCTTTCTTTTCTTATGCTCCCACCATGTCAAAATTTTATCTCGTTAAAACTTAAAACCTGGAGGACCAGTAATTACGCCTTACTCTGGCCCCTATCCTCTGACTTGTCAGAAGATAGGGTCATTTTCCTGCTTGCAACCCAATCGTCATTAAAATAACATACGCCAATAGATATTTTTAAAATCATCTTAAGAATCAGATGAATAAAAATTAATTTAAAAAATATCTTATCATTATGACGAATCCAGATCACGGTGAAGTATCTTCTCAGGAATGATGGAGTCCGAATCGGACTCAGACCTCAATGTATCTAGATAATTCGGATCAGAACAACGCTCTTCTCTCTTTCATACATGTTAATCGACCTCAAATCTCAAGACCTCGAAGTTTTCCTATAATGGGAAGAATTGAGCCTTTAATATGTTGAATTATTACGTTGTATATTTACTGTGATTGCAGAAATGCACTCCAATCATACCCTGTCGGTAGCAACGCTACCGCTGACATAGCTCACAGGGCTAGAAAGCACGCATGCCTGCTCATCACATCAAAGAGCAGGTTATACACAAGCTGCCTTGCCAAATTTTAACTTCTTACTTTATACCCCATCCCGAGATATTAAACGAGATAGGCCACACACACATACGCACGTACATATTCACGAAATTTTTCCTTTTTTTCTTTATTATTATTATTATTATTACAGTAGAGCCTCGAAAACTCGGCACTCGATAACTCGGCACTCCGGATAACTCGGCCACAACCTGGCATGGCAAAAAAATCCTTAGTTAATTAATTTTCATTATAGACAGCTTTATGCCTCATAAAGTATTTTTCTAAGGTCTGTCTTATCAGGTAAATTACTGTACACAGTGTATTCATTAATTTTCATTTTCATGTAGTAAAGGCTCTATGCCTTCATAAAGGACGTATTGTACTTTTCCTTTGTTTAAGGGTATTTGGGCAGTTTATTCTCTGTTGTATTCTCAAGTAAATAATACACAAGTACAGTACAATATTTTCTGAGGAAACACGCATACTTATCCTTTTTTAACCCCATTCCCGATAACCCGGCATTTTCACAAACTCGGCCACCCTTCGGTCCACATTAGGCCGAGTTTTCGAGGCTCTACTGTATTATTATTTTCTTTTTTTTTTACTTTTTGGGTTCAGGGGTCTCAACGTGGAGATTTGCTAAAAAACTAGGAGGGTCAAAAATGACACGGTTCCGATACTTTAGCTTGTTATGTATACAAGTACATTATAGCCAGAAAGTGAAATTGATTTTAAAATAATCTATTTTTATGGCTTTCAGGAAAGTTGGGGCCTTATATTTGTGACTAGTAGCCCTCATTTCTATCTCTCAAGTCCAGATAAAGAGATTTTACAAGTAATGTTGTTTTAAACCAACAAAGTAAAATATTTATTTAACATGCTTAAAAACATACAAAATTATTTATTATTTTAATCTTTAAAGTATAAATATGTAGGCCTAATTAAACTGTTCGTTAAATAAAACTATTCGTAGGATGTATTTTATTTGTTTTCTATAAAAAAATAAATAAAACACATCTTTTTATAAAATTAAAATTTTATTTAATTAATCAAAGTGTTGTTAGTTGTTGACAAATTTCCAAAACTATTCTGGCCGTAACGGAGCAAAGTTTCCAACGATTTTTCCACTCGCTGCAGAATGACGTGTTATATAAGGCAATATGTAAATCATTTTTATTGAATTAAGTAATAAAAAAAATATTTTTTTCGTATTTTCGAGCGATTTATAAATCTTTATAATTTTTATTTTATTAATAATAATAATAAATAGTTACTAGTGTTATTTTTATTATTAATTCGACATTCTCGTATTGATTGTTATTTCTTGGATCGATTCATACTCTGCGTCGTAATTTATTTTTCGTCATTTCAAGAGTGATTTTTCAAAATTGCGTCAGCATTATTGCTCGATTTGATTCAACTTTTATTAAAAATTATGCACGAAATTACACAATAATTATTTTAGACTAATATCATAATTTTGTCCAGAAAAGCTCGTAAGTTCATACAATAATCTTTAAAATCGATATAATTAACAATATTAAGTAATGTTTCTCTTATTAGAGTACAAATACCTCTAGCGATATATTTACGATTTGATTCGTTGATGAGAGGTTTCACCATAATTAGTACAGCACAATTTATACAATACAATGTAGCATAATATATTCAGCGTATTAAAGGTTCAATTATTCTCATTATCGAAAATCTTCGAGGTCTTGAGATTTCAGGTCAATTAACATGTATGAAAGAAGGAAGAGCGATGTTCCGATCCGAATTATCTACAATACATTGAGGTCTGAGTCGATTCGACTCTATTTTTCCTGATGGCAAGGTGATATCTTTACCATGTCATAATGGTAAGTAATTTTTTAAATTAATTTTTATTCATCTAATTTTTAAGATAAAACATTCGATGGATTTAAGAAATGTCTATTGGTGTATGTTATCTTAATGACGATTGGGTTGCAAGCAGGAAAAAATAGACTTAAAATCTTCAATTGTTATTTCTCTGACAATAATCATTGTTTAGAAAATTATTTATTCTTGATATAAAACATTCATCACAGAGGACTGTTTGTCTCTTATCTTGCAGGATTATTATATCATTATTTTCGAGATTAAATTTTCTTACAGTAGGACATTAAGTTCTCCACGGAATTATAATTTTTGACTTAAAACTCTTTCGTAACTCATCCTACAGTAGTACTACGTTTATAAATATTAAATTTATAAATTCCTTTTAAAGATTTCGTCCATATTTTACACAAGCTTCAGTCATTTTTGTTAGCAGAATGACAGGATGAATAGAAGTTTACAACGATAATGGAAGTAGGCAGTAGAGTATAATGATGATACGAAAACTTCAATTATGCCAGAGGGTTTTGAAATATAGCAGGAAATACGTGGCTTCGATATTAATCAACTTTTATTTACTTTTTCGTTCATAACACTACTTATAAGGTCGAAAATAAACTGACGAACACTAAAAGCAATATAAGAACTTCATCCGTTTACTGCACGGTGATAAAGATGGGAGATTCAAGTACTTAATCCTTCTCCTAAGTTATGATTGTTTCCAAGCGATTGTTGACCAAATCCCATTACCCTTCTCCTTGCGAAAAGTGCAGTGACCAGAACATTACTGCAGATCAATTCTCATAAGACTTGTAACTAATAAAGAAAACGTTAATCTTCATTATTCGATGCTTTTAATGTAATCGTAACGAATAATAAATGATAAAATACACGAAATCCGATTTTCATAATGCTTCTTACAAATTGCTCGATTATTTAGTTTATTCGTTAAAAATTAATTTATCACATTAATTATTGATGAAATTCAAGATTTTAAGTTGAATGGAGTCGTTAGAGAATGGTCTTTACATTAGAAAAGAATGTTTTTCTATCGTCTGTGTTAACTGTGGCGTGTTTTCCATTGAAAATTATTCAAAATTTCTAATCAAATTTAATTCAATTAATTAAATTAATTAATAAATCGCTTCTAATTCGAACTTAATTCGTAATTGAATGAATACATTTATTTAACTTGTAAAAGTTTGTAAAGAAAAGTAAAGTGCATAACTTTTTAGTAGAAGTTATTTTTAGGTAAATTCTTTGCGTATTTGTTTTATGTAAATTGCCTAAAAGTAACCTTTACTAAAATTCTATTCGTGCTCTTGTAATAAAGTAGACATTTCAGTTTTCAGATGCATAATATCCTCTTATAATTTAATAATTCTTTTATGTACACAATATAAACATTATATTTAGTTATATAAACATTAAATTTACTGAATTAGGCCACAAAAAATGTTTTTTAATCTTTCATTAAACAAACTCAGCATCAATTAATTTGTCAATGCTACAGTCAAGTTAGCTGAAGCTGTCTAAATCTCTCTTACACTTAAATTTCATATCAAACTCCTACAAATAGGCTTAAATATGGATTATATAGAAACAAATTAATCCTATATATACTTACAGTATATTAAGATTATATAATTAATTCACATTTCATATTTGTTTAGGGTTTAACTTCAGTTTTTTCAAACAAAATTTAGGGGCAATATTAATTTATCATTAAAAAAATGAAATATAGACCTCAAATTAAGCTATAAAGTTCATATAAGGGTTATATTGTATTTAAGTATGCTTAGACCAAAATTACCCTTTATAAGAATTGTTTATCAATTAATAAAATTAAATTATAAAAGTATAATTAGGCTGAAGTTAAAATACTTATAATTAAGTCCTTCAGAATTTCTAATAACGGTCACCTCCAAACGGCGACCATTTTTGTGCCTGTCCATAAATTGCATAACTCAGTGGATATGCAGGTAATGGCTACGATTCATTAGAAGGATGGTATGTTTACAAAAACATTACATAATGCTAGTCTCATCTCTTGTGTAACAGACTGATTCCGTTATGTTTCTGAATTGTTGCTTAGAGAGCCATACTGTTTGTAAATGCTTTGTACTTTATATATATAATTAATAAAATAATATAACTTTCGATACTCTATGCTATGTATAATTCATTAGTACAATTAAAGACGTCGATCGAGAATATGCGTTACGTAATTTTGGGATGAGCATGTGCAATGGCGTTACGGGCTTTATTCTTTTCAACTATCACCCCGAGTAATTGAAAAGTTTAAAAATAGAGTGACGTAATTTATGGAGATCATCCATTCAGGAACGTCTTTTAATTGTATACAAAATAACCTCCGAACAACGGCCATTTTTTTGTTTCCGTTAGTTAGAGGTTTGAGTCGACAACGTTGCCTATTTGTTTTTTATTTAGTTTAGTTCGAGAGAATTCCTATTCATCTTACAGTCGTGACTTTAAGTTACAATATGAAGTTTCTTTACAATTTTTGACATAAATTTTCTTGTTCAACTACAATGCAAAGAGACAAGTTTCTTGACTTTTACTATTCATCGATATGTGAAAAATGATCCTGTCTTTTATCAGACAATCGTAGAGGTAAGTAAGAAGATATCCAGGGTCGTGACTGTGAACAAATTCGTTGAGAACGAGAATGGTAAAGATTACCTGTTCTTGTGAGATAAATTCTCGACCAGAAATGGCTCATAACCGCTGGATCGATAAAGAAAACTCGACTTCATGTTTTGAGATGTGAAACGATTTTTATTATTTTCTCTCTTTTTTTATTCTTTTACTAACAAAATTCAACTGATTAATACGTTTGTTTGTTACTTTACACTAAGAAAATCTCATTCCCATGTTTTCTCTTTTAAAGGAGTTTCAAAACAAAAATAAAATTTCTAAATTAAATTTTAAATGTCGCTTTAAAAGTCATGTTCAATCACTTTAAGTTTTATTTTGTTTTATTTTGGTAATAAATATTTAAACACGAAATTTTATTTAGCTAGGAGTAGAAAGGAAACATTCGCATCCATTTATTTTCCTTTTTTATTTGTTTAAAATTTATAGAGGAAAAAATATTTTTTAAATGTTTAGACTTTATTTAATTTGTTAGGCATTTAATTATATTATCATATATAATTCTTTATTAGATTATTTTAAAATGCTTTAGTCCGTTGCGCCTGAAGAAAATCTTAATAATTTTCCATTTCGTGTTATGATTTTATGAAAAATATTGCGAGGAAAAATAAATATTTTTTTAATATTACAGTTTATTTTAATGCCGCAAATACTTTAATAATAATTCATATAGTGCTTATAAATAGAACTCAACATGTTCAAAATACATTTAAATCTGCAAACAACGACCATTGACGAGAACATAAAACTCGCCGCTATTTAGAGGTTGCCATTAACTTTCGTTTCCTTTTTCAATCTTTGAATATAAATAGAAATTTATATATATATATATATATATACACCATTTTTGTTATATATTTTTCAGTTCCTTTTCATCTATAGATTTTTGTAAAAACTTCTGTTATTTGATCTGGATACTCAGAGGCATCTTATTTCTTTTTTTTTTCCTTACAAAATAGTAAAACGCATTATATAAAATTTATTTAATTTTTGAGTATGTATTACAATAATTAGATTTCTACATTTTCTAGTAACATAAAAATTTTATTTTATAGTTATCTGGAGCTTATATATAGCATAAACTATTTATATGAATAGTTTATGTCAGTAAGGAGCTTTAGTTGTTGTCTTTCTCTTGATAAGTTATATTAATTATGAANAATTTAATTATTGAAAGTCTTAATAATAATTAATTTGTTAATTAAAGAAAGTGTATCAATTCGCTTCATTTCTAATGTTTATGGAATTAAATTGTCAATAAAAATAAATAAGCAAATAAATAAATTAAAGAGAAATAAAAAAAGAAAAATTGAGTGAAAGTTGAAAGATAAAGAGATTTTTCACAACAACAATTGATTCGCAATTAACGAAGCAGGGTGAATGGCGTAGAGTGATTAATTAACGCTTTGATAATGAATGCAGTTTTTTATTTTCATTTTTTTTCTACTAGACTGAAATTTTAATCTGTTTGATGGAATTTCTTTTAAATCTTCCATATTGCAAGTAAAAAAAAATTACAAAAATATGCGAAACATACTTTAACATTTATAAAGGATTGAAGTTAGGGAGGATAATCAGATAAATATAATTAAATGATAAATTGTCAAGCTATTTAAGCGCTGTTTTTTACTCTATATTCTAAGTTGTTATTAAAAATTAGTTTTAAGAAAGATTAGATGTGTATCAAACTTATTTTTCATTGAATTTAGGAAATTTGTAAGTCATCGCCCCAATTTTTTCATTATAAAAAGGGGGAGGGTGCTTTTACTATAATTTGCCAAAATTGCTTATTTTATCATGTGATATTTTTTATCTTATGGCAGTTTTAGATAATTCGAAATTCCTTTTTATATAATTTTATTTGATGTATAGCCGATTCTTGATATTTTATAAGCTCTGGAAGTGGACTCCTAATACTGAATCATCGACAAGCATATACAAAGATCTGAACAACCGCCACTGACAGGAATATAAAAAATGGTCGTAGTTTGGAGGTTACATTGTATGCATTTTTCTTCAAAAAAAATTCGTGAAAAAATGGCCTTTGTTTAGAAGCGGTCGCTATTACAGGTTCGACTGTATTATGGCCTGTCTGAAGCTCTTAGTACCGCGATTCTTAGGCAAAAACGTAAACTACTTATGCCTCATATCATTAGTTATACATGTATATTGATTAGTAAGTAGCTATATATATATATTTAATAAAACCCGCATAAACAAACTAATGAGATAAAAAACGTTATTCTACTTAGAAAAATCAACATACAAATAATTCTAACAATTTCAGATTGATAAATCATCTATTAATAAAGAAAAAAAATATATA